AAGCTTCGACTTTCTTAGAATCAGTGCAGCTGTGTGAACCTTGACAAGTCTGATGTTTTTCTCCAAAAATTCAGCTAAGGACTAAAGAAAAATAGTCTCCATATTGATAGGGTCAAACTAGGGCTTTGGGGTGCAAGGTGAGGAGAATAGAATGGTTCGCCCCCTCCCTCTTATCCCTTATATAGAGCACTTTTCTAATCATATTAAGAATTGATCCAAATCAGATTTGAATCAAGACTTATCCTTAATTAGATAAGCATTATCTTCTTAAGAGAATTGATGCTCTATACCTAAATTCATACCCATTTTCGATTCAACCCACATGTGACCACTTAACTAATCTTATTGGTAATGAGCGTAATGCTCATTTTCCTTAAGGCTCAGTTTGGAAGGAGTACAAATGCAAATTTGTAGAATGCAAAACCTTGTATTTTGTATTGTGTTGTATGTATTTGCACTGTACATATTTGTATTTGTACTCCTTCCAAACTGAGCCTAATGGTTTACCTCATTAGGCATTACATGGCCACTTTAGGCTTGAATATTGTATGGTGTAGGACCTACAAAGATCTCACATAAATCCACTAGAATTCGACCTTACCCTTGAAAAGGGGTAGGTTGAATTTGCTATCCAAGGGAAGTGAACCCCTGACCTAATTGATTTGGGCTTAGTTTGGGCCTAACATTTAAACATAAATGATCATTAAATTCAGTCACCCTATGAAGATCTAAGGATAATGGATTTATGTAAGATAAAGCCCATTGGGTTATCAGCCTTGTAATGGTTTCTTGTCATTAACCTCTCAGCCCATAATCATCAAAACACTATTCACAGGGAAATACCTTTTCCTTGACTACAAAACATAGTGTCACAGTCTTCGTTTAGATGGATCCTAAGATTAAAACCTTTTGCAAACATTTTTGTAAAATAATAATATAATATATAAATATATTTTTCAAATCAGATTTCAAATATAAATGAAATCCACTACCAACAGTTTAGATTTCCATTAAAACGAGTTTTAGTGCTAATATTTACTTTGTTTGACAAAGGGGTGAAGCCTATCACTGTGATCACCTACTTAAGTAATTTCCAAAATTGTTCCAAGGTCTAGGGCATAACTAAAAATTGGTCAATGTTCAGTGTTTCTTCCAAGCACCCACTCATTATGCTTAGGGTCTAACCTTAGCAATTGAAACAAGTTGTTCTTCAACTCATTAATACATCAGTTTCAGCCTTGCCAGGATAAACTCCCCAAATCAATCAAATGACTAAGAATATTTTAAATTAACTAACATAAGTCTCATAAGTGTCTAATTTAAAGAGTAATTCAAAGAAGTACACCAATTGAATATAAAACAAAAATGCACTTCATATTGAAATGCCTATGTACATCAATTTGATTGGAATTAAGGGTATACACTATCTAATAGGTGCACTGTCTTTGGCATTGGCCCTCACTCATTGAGAGTTTTACTTTTGTTCAAAATGTCAACAACCCACCTTTTATACACCAAAGCCGACCCGTGAATTGACATCAATTCCGACCTGGCACCTACCCCAATAGTACTTTGGGCCTACAAATTCTGACCCAATGCTGAACTGTCATTCTGCCAATTATAAACTCATAGATAACTCTCACATGGAATATTCAACGTAGGGAAATGGTAATGGCAGGGGCAAAGTGTTGGAATCTGAAAGTTCAAGTGGTTAAATATCCCAAAGTACAGCGTGGCAATTTGTAGTAGTAGTACTATAAAACTTGAGATGAAAAAAATAAAACCAGGAGCAAAGGCAAAAACACTTGAAAAGGTTATTTGAATGCTTGTTGGAAATATATAATATACAGGAATTCTATCTACTAGTCATCGCAAATTATCTTTAATTCGAAATATAAAATTGAATTTAAATAAATATTCCAAATGCAAAGCATGATGATACCTTTTCCCTCGGGTTTTACCATATAGGTAGCTAAAAATTGACAAACAAAAAGGAATTTTAGTCCAGCAAATGTTGCAAGACAATGGAAAATTTGTAAATGATTGGGAAGAGGAAAAGTAGAAAGGAAATGTACATGAATCTTTGTGGGGCACAGTCGTACTTGCATGTTGCATCTTCTTTTCCAAATACCTGCAAATTAATGCAACTATACAGGTAGGCTGATGCACAACTCACATCTGAATTTGCAAGTAGCCTACGATGGGTTATAGCATCATTGTCAAAGCTTTTATCCTCATTTTGTAAAAGTTTGAAAGAATATGCAAACAAATTCATATAAAAATGTATACAACTGTGAATAATGTGAACTTTCAAAAGAAAGTATTGGATGAGAATACGTGCCAAAACCTTCTTTCCTTTATTTGTATTTTGTAAACAAAAACATGAATTCATTTGTGTAGGGTTTACGATTGCGAATCCTCTACACAAGATGGGAGGATTGTGGGCCAATAATGGTATGTCACGTCATCCTGATAGGTTGGCCTATATGCATGTATAATGGAGGCGGATATGTTACCCACGAGACATGACAACTGCGCAAACCATGTCTTGCATGGGAGATGTTTCCAATACATGGTGGTGGTGCTCTCTCGGTATGGATGCGGGAATAACTTATGGGTAGCAGATCTTAAGTGGTAGGATTGTTAATGGTATTCGAAAGTCTGATTTCAAATCTGACATTCGACAATAATCAAATAGAATTTGGATATCTAATTAATATGAAATAATTAATCGGATTCAAATTTGGATATGACCTGATTCGATTCGATAAAAATCCAAATTCTATTGATTATTTAATTTTTATATATAATATTAAAATATTTAAATGTTTATATAATTTATATATTTATATGCTTTATAAAAGTAAAATATTTATTTTATGTATCCAGTAATTACCTAAAATAATTAATTAATGGAATTTAAATAGAATAGGATATTCGAAAATTTAATCGAATTTGAATATTCGATTCTGATTCCAGACCCCTATTCCCGTAACCAAATGGACAGTGTTGGTTTAATAAGGATGAATAACATCAATCCACATTGAATTTACATCATATAATAATTTCACATGCAACTCTATTAAGTAAAACGGATCTACATCTACTAGACCAACCCTAAGATGATCCGAGAATCTTACATGTGGTGCCTTTTAGTGATGTCTTTCAATGGGTCCATGTGTTGGCCACATTATATATACTTCTTTCTCTCCACTTGTTCGTCAACTTTCATCTCCGTGATTTGATTTGAGGCCTAAAAAACTCACCATTCCTTTGGCTGAGCAAAGCGGGTATTGAAGTGGTTGAAAGAATTTAAGGTGGTCAGATGATGTAGAGGATGGCTTTGGTATTAGTTCATTGAAATATTGGTCCATCCTTCCTGAGTTTATTGTTTATATTTTGGAGGAGGATTTGTAACTGAGTTAATTTGTTGATTGAATGGAATTGCCTACGGGCTTTTCCAAATAAATAAATAATTGAAAGATCCAAGAACAAAGACCAAGGTGGTCAGTCCCGTTAGGATCCAAAAACTGCACGTGTGGGAACTAGGATTCCGGACCTTATAATAATTCCATAGAAAATGGCTTCAGGCTTATAGGGCTGTCGTTTAAGGTTTTATCACCGTCGAAAAAAGCTATTCTAGGCTCCTACGATTCAGAGTATCGCACTCGAATCTTTGCCTTTATCTATTCATTTTTCTGCTTTCTCCAAAGCAAAACTGGATGTAGGACAGCTAAATTATATCTGTTGCCGGGGAATGGTGAATACAGTTCGAAACAATCTCTCTCTCTGAGGCTATTGCATGTGGGTGGTGCTATTATCAAGCCGCGAAATCATCGCTGGCAATTTTTAATCTCCAGTAGGTCATCAATGACAGTACTTTAGGGAGACATTAGTTTTGGCTTTTATCAGTTGTTCATTTACTCATCAAATAAAGGAGATTACAGAAACACGCAATAGATTAATTAACTTAAAAATAATAACAAAATATTGCTTAATCAGGGAATAATACACTTTGTTATGTATTTTAATGTGATTGAGTTTAATATGGGTTCATGAATATTACTGAAAGGAATGTCTTGTTATTATGCAGTTTATACAATTATAATTACAACGCCCCAATTTATATTATACTCAGCAAATAATTTGATTCTATTTCATGTCATTTCTCTTTGGAATTTCAAGCATAGGGTTGATGGGTGTTATGACTTGTATACAGGATTAAGGTGATGATGATGATGACTCAACCAAATTTAAATTTCTGTAGATGAAGCTGGATTGGATTTCCTGTATGTTAAGAGAATCTCGTCAATCAAATTAGCTATTCCATTGAACAATGCAGACCCAAACCCAAACCCAAACCCTGAAACATGGTGGCCGAATAATTGAGCTACTTCATTAAAAATGTTGGGAATCAGGTCATATGATCAGTTCTATTTGATAGTATGCTTAAGATATATAATGTGAGTTCCAAACCTGCTCCAACAAGTAGGACAAGAGATGGCGCGCGAGGTCTGGACGGGTGAGTTGGTTCAAGAATTACCACTCACCGAAGAAATACATGCATCTTCAGAAATAGAACAGGCAGCGCAAAGAGCAGATGAGCTAAAGCCTGCATGATCTAGATTTGGTTCTACGGCCACTCCTTTTCTTTGCGGATAGGAGGGATAATGATACAAAGAACCTGACGTAGTGGCACGCACCCTGGACCCTGGTCGATAGTAGAGATACGCATGCACGCTAGCTAGATGTCTATCATTCAATCTAGCTAGATCAGCACGCTAGCATTTCCAGCTCTGTGAGTTACTACGTACGGCCCACATCCGACACGCATCGCCGACACTTACCAATGTTAAACGAGACGACATAATTGATTAAAGTCATAAAAAGTACTACAGTTTTTCCTTGGGTTGATTAAGAAAAAAAAATACTAGTACTAGGGATTACAGAATGAGTTCTTTCTACCCAAGATGGATATGGATTGAGTTCCTTTTTAAGTTTGAAGTTGGGGATCGAGAAAGGGATGCGTGCAACTGCAATATTCACGACTCCGACAGATAATATGAGCACGTTAACATGGGCCATGATCGGTTGGTATTTGGTAATGTACATCAGTCACCAGCAGCTGCGAGCTGCCACCATCCCATAGAGTCTAATAAGTCTGTTCACTGTTGTCGTCTATCTTTAAGCTTCTATATACAAGTAGTTAAAGAAGAGCTAGCTAGTTGAAGGGATATATCTATCTATCTTCCTAATTTCATGAGGAAGCTTTGGCCCAACTTCGTTGGTGAAGATGCACTTGAGACTGTTCTTGAAGTTCCAATTCCAGAAGAGGTGTTTGTGTCTAACACCAGAAACAGCAGTAGATCATGGAAGAACGTGAAGTCGTGGATGAGATCACACTTGGAGAGATCAAAACCATCAATTGCAACTGCAACTCTCTTTGGAGGTCGAAGCACAGAGCTAAAGCTGTTATTAGGTGTTGTTGGGGCGCCACTAGTGCCTGTTCATGTGCGTAGCGATCAATCCGTCAAGGGGAACATCAAAGATCACCACATTGTAAGTAAAACCCAACCCTTCCCAGTTCCCGCGCGCTAACAAGGATTTCGATGGAAATAAGGATTATATTTCACGTTAAAAGCTGATCATGTATATATAAGCTTGTAAAAATTTGATATAACTAAGCAGGAGCCTTATTCGATGGCCAAGTACATAGTTCAGCAGTACATAGCGGCTACAGGAGGAGAGAAGGTTTTGAGCTCTATAGATAGTATGTACGCAATGGGGAAAGTGAAGATGCTGGCTACAGGCAACACCAATCACATCATCAACAATGGAAACAATAAGAAGATGGCGATGGCAAACAAAAAGAATGGGGGCTACGGAGAGGTAGGAGCGTTCGTGTTATGGCAAAAGAGGCCAGAATTGTGGTGCCTGGAACTAGTAGTTTCTGGGTGTAAGGTGAGCGCAGGAAGTGATGGAAAGGTAGCATGGAGACAGACCCCGTCCCCGTGGCAACACTCACACGCATCTCCAGGTCCCCCTAGACCTCTTCGTCGTTCCTTACAGGTATTTATTTATATATAGGATTAGGATCTTTTTTTTTCTACTTTTTTTTTTTTTTCCCTTTCCTAGCTACTAGATCTCATCTTTCTTGTAGTTGTTTATATCCTATTATCCTGCCTGGGCTTGCCATTCAGAAGACTATATATAGATTAATCGGTAATACAGTTCTATGAGCTTAAGGTCTAAGCTAGCTAGATGACATGACTTAATTTTTCACTGGACGCACCGCAGACCCACCAAATCCATCTCATGAGTCCATTAATTCAATCAACTCTTCTTTTTTTGAAGGCCTTTCAGGCTTCCGGTCTTCCGAATTTGAATAATTAATCAGATGGTCTCTCATCTCCAAGTTGTCCATATATAGCATACTTCATACCTCTCTACCTCTTGCCTTCCGGTTCTTCCCATCTAGTTAGCTCTCTTGCTTGTTTCTAGTTATGCCATCTCATGTAACGATTTTTGGTGATGTATCAATTTTTTGTACTAAGTACCTCGTCATTTGGTCTGAGCTGGGGGTAGATTAGGTGTCGAGTTAACTGTGCCGAGCTGGGTAGGTTAGGTGCCGAACTGACTGGGCCGAGCTAGGGAGGTTAGGTGATGAGTTGATTGGGCCGAGCTAGGCAAGTTAGATGACGAGCTTACCAGAGTGCCGAGATGCCTATTAGGTGCCGAGCTGACCAGAGTGCCGAGTTGCCTATTAGTTGCCGAGCTGACCAGAGGGCCGAGCTACCTGGTGGCGAGCTGGATTGATTGTTGAGCTTCGTAGTTCTTTAGAGACCTGCAAGGAATCAATGTTAGAGGACTCGGGGTGGTTAACCCAGCAAGGTCGCTCCGATGCTTAAGTCAATACTCTCATAATAGACTGCGAGCTAAAAATCACAAAGTATGAGAGTTAGAATATGCTTACTTGCCCCCCTATGCCATTGGGGTTTGTGCCTTTATATAGGCATTGTTTGGCGTGGGCTTCACGCACCGCATCCGAGATTTCCGAGAAATCGTCTAAGATTCCCCGAGGCAACTGCCATGCACGTTGACCACCCTCCGGATCGTTCGGCACGTGAGCTAACTTCCAAGGATCATGTGAGTGTTAGGATATGCATGCCGAATTTGTCGACGAACACGTCTCGCAAGGTCGCGCCTGCCGCCAGTTCGCGCTTGGGCCAGGCCGCTAGGTGGGACACCATCAACTTGACTAAGGCAAGTTGGTGCCTAAATAGTTTCGGGTGTCACCTATTTGTTCTGAGGTGCCATGTGTCACAATATTATTGAAGGGCCAAATCCACCCTCATCACCACCAATTAATAGAACCTCTATTCATTTTTATGTGTTGGGTTGCTTTTACCGTCTCCTAGTCGACTAGTTAGTTCTTAAGCCATGTGTCACAATGTTATGTGTAATTTTTAGGGCCGATCTTGGATTTTGGGATATGGGGAAGACCCGTGCCTGTATGGGCGGCTTTGAGCTAAACTTGGCTTTGGGCCTTTGGCTTTTAGCTTGGATTGAGATATCTGATAACCCAAGCCTGGTGGGCCAATTTAACGCTGGCCCACTTATAAGAGATGTAACCATACTGGAAGAAGTATGTGCGGAGCCTAACGGAAAAGTGGGAACAAACATCTGGCTACCATCACTTCAAATAATAGTGTCTATGTAAGAGTTATTTGGAAAAAAAGATCCTTTTTCTCATTTCTCATGTAAAGACCAAAACAAAAGGGCCTTATACATGGACAGAGGTTAATCATAAAATGTGAATAAATGCTGATTAAGAGCATTTTCTTGGTAAAATGAATTAGGAGAAATAGATATGCATTTTCCTTTCTAAGGGGGCGTTTTTTTTTTTTTCGGATTTTGAAAGGAGGGAAGTTGGTCAATGGGATTTTGGTTCCCATTGACCAAGAATCTCATGTTCTTTTTTCAGATTTATGTGGGGACCCAAGAAAGTTTATTTTCTTAGGTGGGTAAATAACTTTCCCACTTAGGGAGAAAGTTGCCAATACTTGAACGAGACAAAAATGCCCATTTTAATAATGGATTTTTATGGCTAAAATGGTCATTGCCTTATTTACATAAGAAATAAAAGAACATGAATAAATGCAGTTACCCGGGATAAGTGTTTCCCAAGAAAAACTTACCCAGGTATTACATTTACCTGGATAAATAACTTACCAAAAAACGAATGGGACCTAAGAGTTTTGTTTCAAGGAGCACTGCCATCACTTCTTCATTGTGGATTTTGGATTTTGGGTGAAAAGGGAGATTACAGTGGAGGCAATGATACAGTGTAAGTGTGTATTGTAATAATTAAACCATATGAAGTGGCCAACTCTACGAGGGGAACCCACCCAAAACTAAGGATGATCAAGTCCACCCGCCTGGACAGAAAATTTCGAGGCCCAGGCACAGGTTTTTCATTCGAAACTGTACCAGCCCAGGCCCGATATGTTTGGGTGGGTCACGCCTGGTAAGCTCAAAATACTATATGACCTATAAAAAACTGTCCCAGACCCGGCCCAAATTCAGCCCATGATCAACGCCTGTTAACACAAAGTCCCGATCTCCGAAGCATATGAGATGGTTAATTTGTTCATGCATTGCAAGTGCTCTTTGTATTAATTGCTCGATTGATACAAGGGGCCTCCAGCAAGACGGTTAAAGGTACTCCTATACATATTTATTATTAATTATTATTATTATTATTATGTAATAAAATATACATCAATACTCTAATCACTATAATCCAATCTTCTTACATACCAAACGTTATATAATTTTCTTTGATAGCAATAGATGAATGGAAGTGATTTGGGCACACCCCCTTTTTTCAATCAACGGGGAACATCCCTAATCATCAGACCAAAAGTACCTGAAAACACCCAAAAATTACATTATTTATCAACAAAAAGTTATTGCTTTGGAAGCAGTTAAATCACCTCCAACTCCAAGAGAGTAGGATTGATCAATATGTTTCATATTAACTGTGTATATTGGCAGGGTCTAGATCCAACTACTACAGCCAATTTATTCTCAAACTCTGTGTGCATAGGCGAGAAGACAATCGACGATGAAGACTGTTTCGTGCTGAAGCTTGAAGCCGAACTCTCAACATTAAGAGCTAGAAGTAGCAATAACGTCGACATCATCCGCCACACTGTGTGGGGCTACTTCAGCCAGAGAACTGGCCTTCTTGTTGAGCTGGAAGATTCTCATCTTCTCAGGATCAAGACACCAAGTGATGGCACCGTCTACTGGGAAACCACGATGCAGTCTTTTATCAAAGACTACCGGCCTGTAGATGGCATCAATGTCGCACATGCTGGCCGGACCGCAGTGTCACTGTTTAGGTTTGGCGAGACTTCGGAGGCCCACTCAAGGACACGAATAGAAGAAATCTGGACAATTGAAGAGGTTGATTTTAATGTACGGGGATTGTCCAGGGACTGTTTCTTGCCTCCAAGTGACTTGAGGAAAGAGCAGGATGGGTGTGAAGTCGTCGAGACTGCAAATGTCAACATTCAGCACAAGGCTCGACCTGCCTCTGTTAAGGTTGATTCTTCTAAGATAGTAGCAGTCGATGTTGATGTTTCAAACTCCACTGATGAAGATGAAGAATTTTAAAGCATCTTTTTCTTTCTTGGGTATATATATGTATATATGCCATCACCATATTAACATTCCGCGAGCTAGTTTTTGCTTCAGCAACTACTATATAGTGAACTAAATTATCATAACTGCTAATTTCTTATATTTTTAATTGGCTTAAAATGCACATTTATACTAGAGTACAGAAATTATTTCTGGCGTAGAAGGGTGCCTTCTATTCATTGTACAACTAATACAAAAAAGATTGGTTGCAGATTGGCTTCTGGTTGAATGATTTTCTCCAACTTGGTTGGACATGTGAATGCTACCAGGTATTTGATGAGGTACCCGCTAAAGGGTTTCACTTGCGGCACTTTCTGCAATCTGGAGACAAGCAACGATGATGCATAGTCCCGGTTAGAAACATGGCACCTATGAAGCTATACCCTCCCAACTGGAGAAAGGGGTGGATATGAGACGTATTTTGCAGGTTCAGCTCTACTAGGAGCCTTTATTCTATCATTTTCCACTGGCATGAATTCTTGCTGTGAAACTTTTGCTTCGAACAGGTTACTTGCTTCAGTAAGATCACAAGGTGTCCTACTGTTTAAGACTGCTATACAGATGGAGAAGGCTTGTAGCAAAGAGATTGATCCATTAAAATCAATTGAGTAAATTCCCTTTTTGAATGGGGCCAAGCTGAAGACAGGGCTCTTGTTTTGCGTTCCCCCTCCCTGCGGACAAGTTAAAAGGGGCATTCATTTAGAAGAATGTGAAAAAAAGAGATGATACAAAAACATAGGAAATACTGGGATTGGAAAAAAAAAATTGCACCTGAACAAAAAGATCAAATCGATCTGGTTGGGGACAAGCTCCAGATGAACTGAACTCATTGCACAGATCTTCATTTGCAAGAATTCTGAGCTTGCAACCCAAATCCCAACCCCCACAGTCACATGACCCACCTGATTTCCATCGGTCAATTAGAGATGAAGGTACTCCTGTATTTGGCATACCATGAATACCGGTGGGAAGTATGACTACTGCACTAGAAGGGCTTTCAATTCCTATAGTAGATCCATTCTGTAGTTTCTCCCCAAGGTTGCACGACCATATATCATCTGTCATAGAATTGGTGAAACTTGCATCTGAAATGTCTTCATTGGTTTTCCTCTGACATCCATCTCTTATGCATCCCGTGGTCTCTTTGGCAACCTTGACAACCATGGCTGCAAGTTCACTGTTTGGTTGGAAATCAGGGGTTTCCTGATTTGCATGTCTTAGTTCAACACCAAATAAGACAAACTCATTCACTAAAAAGTGATTCTTGGAATTGTGTTCGGTCAACCTGGGAGAGTAAGAACTGGAAACCTTCATTTGACCAACAACATTAGAGATATAGCCATGATTTTTTCCTTTACTTCCTTGATTCATCCACCCCCCACTCTTCTTCTTAAATTCACTAATGGAGTAGAATGTGTAATTCCATCTGGACTCATCCTTAACTGATGTATTTACTTTCTTCATTGTTGCTGCAAGAATGTCACTGTTGTTGTCAACTGCAAATGTAAATAGAGGGTGTCCATTCTTAATTGTGACATGCAAAAGAGCTTGTATTGTTGATGCCATAAGCTTTTCATTCAGACATGAATCATCAGAATTAGAGGGGCCACAACTTGAGAAATTCAGGTTTCTTTTCGCTGGATGAATAGTAGAAGAATCTAATCGTCCATCAGATGATCGGCAAGCCCTACGCGTTGATGATGATTCCTCGTGTAATGGTTCAGAAGAATGTAGACGGCTTGTTGCCTTTGGTTTCAGCAATGGGTCTAGTAGCCTTCTCAATGGGCTGGACCTGCCTCTGCTATTGGCATTTGCTTTATCTCTATTCGAGTTATCTGTACAAGCAGAATCATCTGACTTCACTGGGCCAGACTTAGCAGTAACATATGTTGAGCTCAATTGTGGTACAGCAGAATCCTCTTTAAAACTGAAACTTCTTATCATCCGACCAATTCTAGGCTGATGGATAGGTGATGGATGTCTTACTTTAGCAACAGCTGCTTTGGTTGATTGTGAACCCAATTTATCAGAAGGCTCTGTGACAATTGAATTTGCAGGATTTGTGGCTGACTTGTTTTTCTCTAAATGTTTATCTTTGCACTGTTTTTTTGTCTTTTCATGTGAGCTAGGAAACAAAGGAAATGCATGAGAAAGAACTCCTCTAACCTGAGAATCCACAGAATCTGGTAACTTCATCTCTGACACCATGCCACTTTCAACTCCACAGGGTAGTGGGCAAGAGTATGGAATGTCAGAATGGAGGTCTGCAAAGTGAACTTCATCCCTGAGAGAGAAACTTTTGCGGCCTATTTCAACTCTTGTTGCAGGTCCAGGACGCTGGGAGATCCCTGAGCAACTGTTTTGCAAGGAACCTCTTGGATAGAGGACAGTGATATTTTCGGGTATGCCAGGGCCCTGCTGGTCAGGATGATTGTGACCCAGTTCATCCAACTGCTCTACTCTATTTTCAGATTCACCATCTTGAGCTTTCATCTTTCCCTTTGGACATAAAGGGACCTCATAATTTTTTGAATTTAATGATGGCATGCACCTTTCTGGAGTGAGATTTGGATCTGAATCTTTTCCTTTACCTTTCTCAAGCTTAATTTCTGAATGGATTTTGCCAAAAAACTGATCTGTTCTAGGAAGCTTTTGCTGTCCAACCATGGCATCCTGAGAGAAAGTTTTGAATTTTTGAATATCCACAGAATTTCTTCCTGAGGATTTCATACCTTGAGGATGGCCATCTATGGGAGACAAATTCAGATGAGAACGCACTGAAGGGGTTTGCACCCTTTGCTGAGCAGGAGAGTTACTTCGGTTTCTGCTAGATAATGAAAAGGATCCAACAGTTGAGTACGATGAAGAAGTATTATTCATGGGATGTATGCCACTTCTCTCATGGACCGGTTTTTGGTTAACCTTCCATTTTTCTAGACGCTTCCAATCAAGGACCCCAAAATTCAAAGCCTTCTCTTGGAGGTTTCCCCCCCTTTCTATGCGCTGTAGATAACCAGGCAAATTTGACATATACTTGACAAGCTCATCATCTTCAGTTGATTTCCTGTCATGTTGTTGCTTTTGCAGGTTCCTGGAAATTTTAGGTAGGACTGAGGTTCCACCATCTCCACAATGGAGATCAATGTTTGACTGACTGCTACACTGCTCTGCTTTCAACCGGTCTCGCAGTGTTATACCTCTGTTTTCTTGTGGTGACAGGACTTTCTCTTTCACTGCTCTTGACATCAGATGATGCTTTGAACTTGTTTTCAGATCCATATTGTATCCCATGTCCTTGACGTTGTCAGTACTCCACATTACTTGATCACAGCTTCATTAACATAAATCCAAATATACTTGGTATTCACTAGCATCTCTTTCCTGTAAAACCCCTGTACGGCAAAAGGAGGCTGAATCATCTCTCTCGATCTGACATCCTTTTTATGATTCACATAAATGTGGGCCCTTTGTCTGAAATCCATTCAAACTAAGAAAATTATGGTTCTGCAAGAAAATGATTTCAAGAATCCTACAAATATATGTATAGTCAAAAACTCTAGCCAAAAAGAATTAATTAACAGAAAGTACACAAGTTCAGATGACAGGAATAATTCCTAATATAAATATTTCCTCTACAAGAAGCTTAACATGTTCCCAGAAACTGCAACTCATTTTCACCATTAGTATAGTAAATCTTAGCACTGTAACAAGTCAAGTTGATTAAGGCTCTCTTTCTGTAGCATACATTACATCCATGTAATTAGGACCTCAACCATATGGCATGTTGTCAAGTTTGTGCACTTTCAATAGTTATATCTACTGTATATGTGCCTTAAATAAATTTAGAATGAAAAAAGAAAACTGCATGTGTTTCATCAAGCAGGAAGGAAAGTAGAAGTTAATTGCAAGAATATACACAATTAAAGAAAAAGAAAAATGGTATTATATCTTGGCAATGCCCTTGGCATGTGTAAGACAAGGACTTCGGGGTGGAGTTCCCAACTTTCCATTCAGCCAATTCTTCTTACTTACAAGGTGAGTTGATTATATTTGTTGTTACAAAATTCTGCATTTGGGAACAAATACAGTGCAATATCACTTTCTCATCAAGAGGGTATCATAACGAGTCTCGACCGCAGGGAAGCCTGTATTATACTGGCACTAATTCTTCAAATCGTGATCAAGTATTAATATATTGAATGCCACATGGCTGATTTGTGATTTTTGTTGGCAAATCATGGACTAGGCATCTAACGGAAGCAAATCGTCTTACTCATTAACCAACTCCTGAAAACCTCCCTAAAATCGCAAGCCCTTTCGGTGAACTAAAAGACCATCTAACGGAAGCAAATCGTCTTACTCATGAACTAACTCCTGAAAACCTCCCTAAAATCGCAAGCCCTTTCGGTGAACTAAATGACCAACTTAATCTTATTATTCCCTCAATTTCATATTGGAAAAGAGGAGAGAGAAGACGGAAAGGGAATTTGCGTCAAAAAGTTCTGAAAACAATCAATCATTAGTTAAGAATGAAGACACACCCTTTCCTTGATGAGGTACCAAGCTGCAGAAACTTTTCTAGATTGTGAGTTGTTGCATAGACATTGACGAATTGATGAAATGAATAGACAAAAGACCAACATGGCGACGAAGCACCAAAACAGAGGAAAATGAACACCAGGAAATTGGAACGTTCCATTAGAACCCAATTTCCTTAGCTTACAAGATGAGAAAATTTTATGTGTCAGAACTTACCTCAGCTTCTGCTTCCAAGGCTGCTAGATGAGACAAGTTTTGAAATCTATTCACGCGAGAGAGAGAGAGAGAGAGTATAATTCTTTTTGTCATACATTAACGAAATATAATTATATAACAGCACCTTCTTTAGGAAAAAAATTATGGTTATTATAAATTATAAGGATGAAAGGAATTTCCAGGAAATTGCACAACTTTTGTCTTGAAGTTTCTCATTTTTAGGCACATTTCTTCAGTTTTGTGGCAAGAGCAGTTTCATTACATTCTTCTGGGCTTCTGGCTCACCCTGTGTTGACCCCTTGAAGAAATTAAGATCTTCTTCATCCCCATATCAGACCCAAAATCAAACTAAACTTAGAACTCAAAACAGAACCCCATGGATCTATAAATTATCAGTGCAGAGAGACAAGAAATCTGAAGTGTTGAAATAATTCGAGAAAAAAAAATGCCGAATAAAACAATTATGAATAACGTTCCGCTAAAAAATCATCAAGTAGAGAAGAGAAATACATACCGAACAACATCGAAGAAATGCAGTATCAAAAGCAACCATTGACGAGAAGTCGATGATCTCGAAGAAGATCCGTGATCCGATGCGTCTCGGGGCATCAACTCATGGCAAGCTACTCGAATGAACGTAGACTAAAAGAAAAGAAAAGAATTTGCAGAGACAACCAAGAAAGCAACAAGCTAGACTCGAAATACGGACGCTTTTTCTCCCGAGACGAAGCAGAAGAAGCAAAGAGAGAGGGTTTTCTGGGGAGTTCAGTCGTCTTCAGTAGAAGAACAGAAGGGAGAGTGTTGTGTGGTGGTGTGTGGGTCACAGAGAGAGCGAGAATGGGTGAGAACAGCTATGAATGGGCAAGAGGCCTCTCGTTTCCGATAAACGGCCAAAAACGAGAGCTCAAAGAGCGGGGTCCGGGGGGTGGTCACCATCAGTTTAGAGGCGGGAGTTGGGCCTGGGGGCCCACGTGGTGTCCTGTGGACAGGAATCTTTAGCGGGTGTTTCGAAGCAATGCTGGGATGGGTGGGTCCCACAAGTTACGTCACATGGCCCTGTCAATAACGTTGTTTATGAGGGCCCACCTTGCGTTGCGGCCTTGCCCCGTCTCCTTTTAAGGCTACGGCGTTGCCCCGTCTCCCTCTTAAGTCCATCAATGCCTTGCATTGGGTATATCTCTCGATGAAATAAAGTACAGAAATACGAAGATATTCCCGGTGAAAGGTTGTAAAGGCTGTTCGAACACTATTCGAACGGGCCGTAGTCTGATTGAAGCCGATCTCCTCTTTCTCTTAAATCTCTCTCTCTCTTTAAATTATTGTTTTTTTCTTTCTTTTTCGGCCCATCCACTCATATCATGGTTGATGATCCATTGATTTTTTTTTTTATTTTATTTCAAAGATTTCATATTGCCAAAAGCCAAGTGTAAGATGATGACGTGGCTGTGAATAAAAGCCAAGTACGAGACAAATGCATTTCCGAAAATGCCATCCGCTTTCCTTAGAAATTACTAACTACGTACATCTAGGAGCAAGATATTAAGATGGGGTCGTAATGGGATGGGATTTGGATAAGATTCCACAAGGACAACATCTGATCAGTTTCATACCTATACCAAAAACTGCAGATTCTTTTGTTCCAAATTCAATTAGGTTCTGATGGGTGTTGAATCAGATTCAAATCCTATTGAAATTTCGAGATTTTAGACATGATCTGAGAGTGTAATCATCAACTAAATTTAAAATAATGAAAAAGAATTTTCAGAAAACAAAATAACATTTTTATCATTTGTTGAAATTGTACTTGTATATATAAAAAATTATGTAACAAATTTATTAATCATAACGTTATATGATTATTGAATATAATACTTCATGATTGGTTGACACTTGACAGCCCTAGGATTAAGGGCATGGAGGGAAACATAAGAGTACGACACTCCACATGCATGTTAATGAAGGGTGAAAACCTGTGGACGTGTTTGGTGGGTTGACAATTTATAACCAAAATGCTATTGAATTTGAATGAAGGGGGGTAGTTAAATTTAGTTGGTGGTAGCGTCTGCAAAATTAATAGCATGTTACCTTGATCCGAGTCGACAGTCGACTTCCTGCGTTATTAATTATTAACTATGACTCCTTAGAGTCCCTCTCCCTGAGCAGTGAGTGATTAGCCTCCTCAAGATCAAACAAATAACAAGGTGTTGTTGGGATGGTTGGATGGGGGTCCTAAGGAGGGGTGTGCATAGTTACTTGCCTGCCGACCACTCGTTCCCCACACAGTATTTATTTAATAATTTCTTCAAAACAACAGAAAAGGGGGATGTCAGATGTGCACTGCATACTGCATTGCATTAAAACTGCAATAAGTTGACCATTTAATCCAACCCCACCAATTAACAATTTTGATTGGGATATAATAATGGGTTAGAGGGTTGAGTCCTGGGAATCCAGACCAAGTTGGCCAGTTGGTTAGAGAATAACAACGACACCTGCAATCAATGAGGCCTTGTATATATCTTCAATCTGTATCCGACGCCCATCTGCAGGGAACATTGTATGCATGCTTCATGCATGACAGATGACGCCAATTGGAAAGGGCTGGGTGGTCGACCTGAAAAGGGAAATCAAGGAAAGAACCTAAATTCAAACTCCTCCTCCTCCTCAATTGCTCTGTGTAAAAAACAAGACAGATGGTGGAGGTGGAGGTGGAGGTGTGACTGTGATACATTAAATTAAAACGGATGTAAAATGGCATTGAGAATTCCTAATTCCTAAATTAAATGAACCGAGTTCAAAGTGAATGCGGCTCGGCGAGTCGGTGGTGGCATTTTCGACATTCTGATGAGATGAGAACATGTCAATATGGAAGAGTATTATTATTGTTTTGTTCCCCAGCTCGTGACATGAGGACGAGGGACTAATTCACAAATTTGTTAATCCCAGCAATCACCGACAACACTTTGCCAATATTCCAACATACACAAAACCATCGACACCTTCCTAGCTTGGGCCCTTTAATTTAATTTGTGGGAGACTAATACGTATACCTGTAGTCCTGTGCACCTACCATCCTCCCATTCTAATTAAACAGTCAGTAGTTGTGTGTTCTCAACGATCTCAATTAAGTTAGCGAAGAAAACGATATATATATTAATTGGCTTTGGCTCAGCCTCACCAAGTAGCCAAGTAATGGCTTTTAATAGGAAGGCGGATCAATGAATAATACTGTTGGTTGGGACCCAATCCCAAACGCCAAACCAACTTAATTGCAGTACTCCACATATTTCGTATATCGCAGACTTGTCTATCTATATATCCCATATATAAAGAATATCTATCCACAACACAAGGACCTGGGCCCTACATTTCTTTCTTTCCCTTGAAAAAAAAAAAAAAAAAAGTAAAGTGAAAGCCCATAATCAGTAACTTAGTCTGAAATGGTTCACCACTTTAGAGAATGCGGCCTAATAGCCTTGATTGGGGAGTCCTTGGAGTGACCAGTGTGGCAATGTTAGCAAGGACCAGTAGTCCAGTAGTAACACAACTTTGTGTTTGTGGGGGGGACGAAATTTTCGCACGCTTGTCTCGTGAGAATCTCTTTCTCCCTCCTTTAAACCCATCATCAACAGACAACGACAACAGCTTTTACAATGTAAATGATCATCTTGAGTCTCGACCCCTGACCAATGGGTAGATTAGATTGGCCCTTGCACGCGCCCATGAACATGATCCACCCGACTTTACGTTGGAGAAGAAAAGCAATCAATGTGGGCGATCTCTACTTTTTCTTTCCCAAAAACATAGTAAAAGAAACTATATTTACACGTAAGAGAAGAGAATAATAATCGTCTACAGTATAATCTATCGGATTCCATATATATTATATATTCCATACTTTAGGCTTTAGCATGAGAATATATATATATATATATATTTCATTGCTTGGTTACATAATAAACAAGCAAAGTCTTATTAAACAGTATGCCAACAAAGTTGTCATCCCGCCCGTGAATGTATACCTACTATTCTACTGTTAAAAGTCTTATAATGCAGACAACTAGGTAGTTGGGGTCAATATTCTGTTGTCTCAACCTACACGCTAGTGAACCAATTTTGGGCGTCTGATTAAATGTTCAATAATATCACAAACAATAACAGAGCTGGTTCCTGGAAGGCGGACGCGATTGTCTTAGTATAGAACGCATGAATGGAAGAAGAATGTGAGCATGAACTAGGTAAGAGGATTTCAAAGACGTGATTCTCATTTGCAGTTTTGTCAATATACGACCTACTATTGCAAAACATAAATTATATTGAAAGATGTAAACGTCGACTACGTGGGAATCGAGAGAGAGAGATGCACTACTCTCAATGAAGAAGAACCAAAGCCAGTGATAATTCAATGTAAAAAAAAACGCTATTCTTTATATGTTTCCCCTTGGTGGTGGTGGAAGGTAATCTACATCGAGGTGGATGCGACTCATTTTCCTGTAATACACTAAAGGCTGGGATCCTTATAACATTGTGCATGGACAAAAGGATGATTTGTTGATTACCAAAGAGCATTGTCTCATATAATACAGCAGTGAGCAGTGACCAGTCCAGTCGTAGCTAGCGCGTGTCGGCATCAAACCCCTATCACAATTCAACCATCTTGCAGCCAATTCGGCCATTCGGATGTAATAGGCATAATATAAGAAATTACATTAAATAGGTATTTGTTAAGTATTTTGAAAACTGTCAAAAGTGGGTTTTAATTTTTTTTCAAGGGTAAGGAGAGCGTATTTCAAGGGCTGGGCACGATTTGGGTAGTTCACCTATTTATGTCTATGTTTTGGTTTTTAGTAAAAATAAATTAATATGTAATTACTAATTTATCCATTTTCATGATAACGTGACATTTTTAGAAATTCTCTCAATAGCATAGCATAGGCTATTGACCCCCAATAACTAAAGTTTTTTCATATTTTAAGGGATAAGTGTCAAAAAAAATTTTAAGTATTGATTAAACGTGCTTACAACTTCGTAAATACCTCATCCGAACCCTTGAACAACTTGTTTGTTTTCTAATGGCTGCTACCATTTTGGTGTCATATTAAAATTTAATTATGTATCTATGATTTATTAAAGTGGTTGGATCGGATCAGAAAAAATCCGGTTTTAAGGCTAGATAGGCTGAAAATTCAAAGAAAACGGCTTAAGATTTCTAGAGCCGACCATAGCTTTTGATCCAAGCATAAAATGATTTAAATTATTTACTCTTGTCAAATCTCATCAACACACTACTAATAAGGTGGTGTTTGCTATCTGTATTTGTGTTTCTCAATACAAAAAAACGGTTGCCATATCCATAAAAACAATTTGATATTGATGATGTGGCAAATATTTTTTACATTAGTCTGAAATACCCCCTTAAAATAGAAATCCAAGAATACTACCCACATTATACTACAATTGTACATTGAGAACATCTCTCATGAATGGTATATATATATTGAAAAAATAGTGATGTGGACATAAAATCTAAGAGGTAAATAACTTGAACATTTGGCATGCTAGCTAATGAAGAATGATTTGACCCGACCTATGAAACGGCGACACGTGGATGCTGACTCAGCGTAAGCGACAGCTCAGCATTGTGGTCCAGTACAACTAAGTAATGGGCCCATAAAGCAGCTCACTACATGGTAGCGGGCTAAAGGAGGGGCTCGCCACAACGCGAGCTCCGGGTTCCCCGAGCTACCTCTAAAGGGATATTCCGAGGCAAACCTTAACTTGCGAGCTAAGAAAACCTGCTTGCCCGAGCCCCTGAACAAGACAAGTCATCCTGAGGACCAATTCTACTAAGGGTATTTCTGTATTATTCGAAGCTCATTGCAAAGTAGCTCGCGA